ATCCATCCCCCCACCCACTCAAGTATTTTTTTTCCTCCCCCCCCCCCCCCCCCCCCCCCCCAGTCAACAACTGCTTGCACTAAGCTGCTAAACTGGTGAGCGAGTAACAGGTATCTCCACCTCAGTGTTGCTCAGGTCTGAGCTCAGAAGCAGCGTCAGATATGAAGTGTGACTTGCTGGTGGATCATCTCAGCTGCTCCTGTCTCTTTTGTCAGGTACTGAGAGTGTTTCTGTTCCTGGGACTCGTCTCCCTGCTGAGCGCTTCCAAAAGAAGCCGGGAGGTCTCGGTGCAGGGGACTGGACCGAGAGGGAGGACTGTGAGACTGGTTCTGGACCCTTCAGTGAAGTCCTACCTCTACAGCCAATCTGCTTTGAACCTTGCCAACGCGTCTCTGTCGCCGTGGATTTACACGTGAGGCTTCACTACACATCTGTTTTTTTACTTGTTGTTTCACAGAATACCAACCTGATCCACTGGACTGTGGTTCCTGTCTCTATTTGCACTGTCGAAACATGGTCCAGTAGAACTAAATGATGTTTCTGTGTACAGAACCGTTGAAGAACTTGTGGGATTAACAGAGAACTGATCTTGGTGCAACTGTTTCCAGTTCATGAGGTTTATGGTTGACCATGTCCAGCTCTGATTTAGTGTCATGTCTTAATGGGATACCTCAGTCATAAGTGGGGTTCTGTGAAATGGTCGGTTTAGTTTGGACCGGAACTAAATGGATCGACGCTGTTTTAAAAAGAACTTGAAGCCAACATCTCACTGTTGGAGCTACGAGCTAACGACTTGAAGCTGTGAGAAAAACTTTCAGTCGCTGTCTCAGAACGGTGAACAGACGCTGCGTCCTCACCACATTTTCAGCACCCACCTTTTGAAACGGCACATTATTTTGTTGTCTACATCGTACCAACCTCAGCCCGCTTTGTACCCACCCTGGCAGCCGCCCCCACCTTTATGATCAATCTGGAGTGCACGTTTGAAACCACGATTGGCAGATTTGATCAGTTCTTTCAGAACAAGTCAGAATATCAGTGTGGTTTTTAGACATTCGAGGCTGCTCCTCTGGTGTTTTCCTGTCAGAGAGGAGCTCAAGAGAAAGTGTCAAAGTTCAGCTCTAGCATTCTTGAGATGGGTTGGAGGTGCTTGTGACAACTGGGCAACTTTTTAGATAATTATTTTTTGAACATGGTCAGAATTTAAGTGACAAGATTGTAAGTTTCTGGTTTAGCAGGCCAAATTAACCCCTGTCCAGACTAAACCTGGTTACAGTCTGGACCAGGCCAGAGTATACCCTGAGGGACAAACTGTCTAGACCAAACTTTACCCCTCCAGGCCAGAATGTACCCATCTAGATCACCACAATCTGGTCTGTTCAGGGTTTATAGATTGAATCAGTCAGTTTTCTTACTGACGAAGCTGAAGCCAAAATGAAATATTGAAAATTCTTGTTTATGACTCAACACAACTGATAATGTGGTGGTAAATTCTGACCTGAGGGGTACAAATTGCCCTAAGCCACAGTATACCTGGGGTATAATGTAGCTGGGGTCCCTGTAGCCCAGGTATAGTCCAGACTTGGGCTGGACTTTGGTCTGTTACACCAGGAATCCCCATAAGCAAATGGAGAACCTCTGTGAACACTTTGAAGACTTCTTCATGAATGCAACAATGTTCAGTCAGGTCATCTGGATGTTTTTTTTTTTTTTTTTTTTTTGGGCTGAGACGTTTCGCCCTCCATCTAGAAGGCTTCATCAGTCTGAGGAAACGACAAACAAAACTGCTTCTCCCCCAACAGCTTATTCCAAAGTGAAAAAATAAACAGTTATGTTGGTGCTAAGATGGTCTCTGGGGCACGCCCTCTCTTCCGGTGCCTGCACTCTCCCTCATTGACAGTCATGTCAAACTGGTTCAAAACAACAAAGTCCATGCTCAATAATCAAGGTATAACATCCAACTGTTAGATTTTATACCTGGATTATTGAGCACAGACTTTGGTGTTCTTCATGAATGCTCTCCACCGGACTAAATGACTAAATGTAGCAGTTTATGCAAAACAATATTTCATAGAAGTTTACACTTTGGAAGTGACTTCGGCCCAGTGGTAGGGAGGTTGACATGATAAGTTTTGATCACCAGCTTCCACAACATGCTGAAAGCTCCCTGGGTACAAACTTCATGTGTGTTCCATTAACACAGGAAGTCCAAACTCAGAAGTTGGAGTCATGCGTTTTCTGAGTTGACCACGTTCCTAACCTAGACCTGGTTGAACCTGTTTTGTATCTTCCTGTGAGGTCTCAAACTCCACGCTGTGTCGTACAGGGCGGCTGTGGCTGAGTGGTTAGAGCAGTCGTCCTCCAATGCAAGAGTTGGGGGTTCGAATCCACCAGCAGTCACATGCCGAAGTGTCCCTGGGCAAGACACTGAACCCCTCATTGCCTCGGATGTGTGTCCCATCAGTGTATGAATGTGATAAAGCTCTGATTAGTCTCTTTAGAATGATTTGTTCAATTATCATTGTATAGATCTAGAAGAGTGCTTTATGAATAGGTAAATGAGGCACAGATTGTAGTGTAAAGAGCTTTGAATATCTTGATAAGCTAGAAATGTGCTATATAGGGCTGCAACAACGAATCGATAAAATCGATAAAAATCGATGATTAAAAGTGTTGGCAACAAATTTCGTAATCGATTCGTTGTGTCGCGCGATTATGCATCTTTCACGGTGCTGCAGAGCCGTTTCGTTTTGTTCACGGGCAGTTCATTGTCAATGCTGACTGACTGAATAAAGTTTGAAAAAAAAAACTGCAGCGCGAGGGGGAGCAAAGCAGTGGCAGTGTTTTTAAAGGAAATTTAAGTAAATTTTACAAATGACCGACGCAGCGAAAACTGTTCGACCCAAGTCCTTTAAAGTGTGGGAGAACTTCACAAAGATAAAAAATGAGAAACATGCAGCTTTGAAAATCGCCAACACGACACGTGAGAACCACAGAGATAAACGTAAACATGTCGGAGTCACGAGCTGCAGCTGATGCATGTTTCACTCCCAACTCGTGTTGCAGGTGAGTCTCTACAATTTAACACATTGTTCTGTTTCAAGAGAGAAAACGTAACGTCAGTCTGTCTGTAGATGAAGCTGCTGTTTGTTTGTTTGTTTGCTTGTTTATCTGATTAATGACGGTGATAGAGAACGTGTGTGTTACTTTTTATTTAATTTAATTGGTACAAGCAGTGTTTAAATGTGATTTATAAATAAATCTAACACAAAGATAATAATTTAATGATTAAGCTTTAACTTTTAATTTGTTGGCAAAGTCTGAAGACACTGCAGGTATGGCAGGATGAATTGCATTTAAACAGGAATTAAAGTAATTTATTACATCTACTCAAATGTGTGTAATTAAGTATTTTATATATATATATGTGTGTGTGTGTGTGTGTGTGTGTGTGTGTGTGTGTGTGTGTGTGTGTGTGTGTTTAATTGCTCTTTTAGCTACTTTTGCCTGAACCTAACACTGTAAGTGAAACAAGGCATTTCTTGAGTTGCTGTAAATTATGCTATAATACATATTTACTGTCTCATTCCAGAAAACAACAACAAACAACAACATCCTTCATGATGGACAGACATCATGGAAACCACAGCAGCAGCTGTCTTCACTGAAACATCCTTAAATGATCGTCACTGACACGAGGCCTCTGTCAATGTTTGAAGACGAAGGCTTCACTACAATGATCCACACTTTTAATCCAGGTTACAATAATCCACACTTTTAATCCAGGTTACACTTTTCCCTCAATGACACATTTTACAAAGTAGCTACATACTGTGCAGGTATAAAGACACATTTGTATATATTTTTGTGTACATTTATTTTTTTAAGCTATTTGACTAACTTTTATTTTTTATTATTCAATATTAGTAACTGAGCTGCTGGTGGGAGAAATATCCGACGGTTGGCCTGATGGCATCACCATCTCCCTCCACGGCCCCTAGGGGCCGGGGGGTGGGGGTGGTGGCCAGAGTCCCTGGTCCGAGCCTGCCCAGCTGGTTGGTGGACCAACCCATGAAGGCTCCTGCTGGATCTTTGCTGAACCGCACAAGGGTAAAGACCACCTGGCCGATTGTGACCCCCAGGCGGCGGCTGCATGCTGGGGTCAGCCGACGGGCACCTTGGATGCCGAGGAGGTGGAGGGGGCATTGCCCTGCTAAGGCTTGAAAGTTGCTGCCTTCTCTGTCGTGCCTGGACAGTCCATTCCAGCACTTCCAAGGCAGCCGAACCGAACAACTCCCCCGGCACCACTGGGACATTACGGAAGGTTCTACGGCATGGCTCAGTCAATGCTGACTGCGCCAACCAGACCTGTTGGCGAGCCTGGACCAAGGAGGACATCACGCGCCCAAGTTCCCTCGTCATTAGTGCAAAGGCCTGAAGCGCTGCATCGCTAAAGCTCATTGCTGCTGTCGCACCACTAGTCCCCTGAAGGGACGCAGAGAGGGCAAGCATGAGGTGGGCCAAGGAATTGCCTAAGCGGCCAGCACGCGCTCCGGCGGCATAGGATCTGCAGAGGAATTCGTCCGTGACGCGACACTGAGCTTGTGGGCACCAAACATCACTGTGCAGAGCTTCCTCTGGTGACACAATGAGAGAATAAACAGCAGGTTCTATCGCCGGCATGCGGTCCAAGCCTGCTGCAGCTGGCTCATGCATAGCCGCCAACACTCGACCATCTGCGGAGAGGCGCGCAAAGAATTTGGGGTCCTGCCGGCAACCATGCAAGTCCCTCAGGAACTCCTCTGATGGAGGGACAGAAAAGGAAGGAGGGGTCAGTTCGCACCTGAAGAAAGCACTTCCAGGGGTGGAGTCTTCTGGTTGTGGGACATCCAGCTGCAGTTGTCTCAGGGCCATACGCATGATGTCCTGCATCGAGCCGTCACCAGACCCACTAACTGCGCTCCGAGAAGAAGAAAGTCAAGCTGTCTCTGAGACTTGAGATGAATGCCCCTCCTCCTCACCTAAAAAGTGAGAGGCAGAGGCAGCCAAGGATAGCACATCTTCCTCTGCAGCCAGTTCAGGCATGGGTGGGTAGGAGAGTCTGTTCGCTGCCACTGGTTCAGTTCCCAGTTGGCGTACCTGAAAAAGGGACTTTATCTCCGCTTATTCAGCAGAGAGCTGCTCCACCCTCGTGGAGAGGCCCCTATCAGACCTGACTCGCTTCTTCCCAGGAGGGGCCACAGAGACTGCGGCCTGACTGGCGCTTCGAGCACCGCTAGCTCAGCTGGTAAGAGAGGACAATTGGGAGAGGGGGTGCGAACGCTCGCCTTCACCAATTAAAACAAGGCCAAAACTCAGAGAGGCTAGCACCGCTAGCTCAGCTGGTAAGAGAGGACAATTTGGAGAGGGGGC